CCGCGGCCCTCGAGTGGGCCAGGCGCTCCCGCTCCCGCGCCCGGGCCTGGGCCGCGTACCCGTAAGGCATGTGACTGTTGCACCCTGAGCTCTCCGCACTCACCATCGCAACCTCCATGGTGGCGGCCTTTGGAAATGGCTGGCTCCAGTTGTAGAAGAAGAAGAAAGGAAAATAGGGCAGCTTCTCTTCTCACCAAATTAAGGTAAGTTTGGAACCCTTAAGCAGATTGCTTGGAAGACTAGGGATATTTTCAGTCCAACTTTGCATTTTCTGTTTTTAAACCAGCACGCCCCATGCTCTCTCTTCCCAGGGATTCAACACTGCTCTCTAGAACTTGGCTGCTCTAGATACACAGCCTTGCACTCTCAAGCCTAAGTCAGAAAATGGCCGGGTCTCCCAAACACCTGTCTTGGGGTGGATCTTCAAATTCGGAAATACATTTAGGATGTGGTTGGTGATGATGCTGCTCGATTCAAAGGCAGCAAGTATCTGACAGCCAGCAGTTGTGCCTAGAAAATGGAATATATGTTTCTGCCATGGAAATTGTCCAAAGCTCCGTCCATCATATTTAAATAAAATGCAAATAAGCCTTTAGTCTTAGCACTTGCCTTCTAGTGACGTCTTGACCCATGTTAACACGTGACTTGACGTATGTCCAGCCATTGCCGCTCAAAGCCTACCAGGGTGATTCTCCAGGCTCTCCCCTTAAGTTCATCACAGGCCTCCTGGACCCAGGGGTGATGCCAGGCTATCGACAGAGACAAAGACCTTGGGAGGTAGAGAAGGTGCAAGACGAGGTGTCAGCAGGGGCAAACCCGGCTCTGAGGTCTCCATAGAAATCAAGGAAATGCAGAGCATCCTTCAGCTAAACTCATGCAGAAGAAGCACTTCACCTGAAAAGGAAAGAGAAACAAGCAGAGGAGAGAAATAAAAAGAAGAATCAAATCACAAAGAGCAAACTGAGCATTTCCTTCACACCACATCTTTCTCTTGTCCTCAAGCAAACCATATAAAGCACCAAGTGACCGTACATTTCCAGGAGTATGGGGCAGGTTGTTAAATATCCTTCTCACTAAACAGCCTTCTTTCCTTCTTCTTCCGATATTATTTCAGCTCAGTCTATTTTCATAGCAACTCAATTATTTTTCCTCTCTCCACTCTCAACCCACATGGCTCTTCCTTCAAACCTCCTTTGCACTAACGCCAAGTCTTAAATCTCACTGTCACTCTCTTCATTCCACAATAATAATGCTGTCACTTTAGGGGCCGGCCCGGTGGCGCAAAGCGGTTAAGTGCGCGCGCTCCGCTGCGGCGGCCCGGGGTTCGCTGGTTCGGATCCCGGGCGTGCACTGAGGCACTGCTTGGCAAGCCATGCTGTGGCGGCGTCCCATATAAAGTGGAGGAAGATGGGCACGGATGTTAGCCCAGGGCCAGTCTTCCTCAGCAAAACAAAAAAGGAGGATTGGCAGATGTTAGCACAGGGCTGATCTCCTCACAAAAAAAAAAATAATGCTGTCACTTTACAGCTGCTTCCATAATTCATTGATCTCAAGGCATTTTTTAAAATTTCCACTCAAAATATTTCTGGATTTAGTCCCCTTCCACCCCTACTCTGTCTTGATTCAGGATTAGAGAAATCGGAACAACTAGTTTTCCTTAATCCAGGCTCCACTGCTTGAACAAGCTTCAGTCACCTTATCTACAAAGTGTAGGTAATAATACAACCTCCCCCCTCCCTCTTGGAAGCATTAAATGAGATAAAGGATGTTGATAGAATAGCACAGAGCCTTGTACATAACGAATATCAATAAATGCTGGCAGTTACTAATAACACGACAGTAACGTAAACTGTTACCATCTATCCACCCACACCCACGTGTGTATGTCCTTACAGCACTGTCTCAAGTAGGGAAGGACGGAACGTGAGGACATCCAGGGTGTTCTGAGACTCACCCGGGGCCTGTGTCGAGTTGGCAATCCCTGACTCCCTGAAGCATGTCCTTGTTGTTGCTTTTCTGTTCCTCAGACTCCAGAACACTCTCTGCCACCCACAGCCTAGGAGCTAATCTCCGTTTCCAGTTGTCTAAGAATCATCTTCTGTCCTTGCGTTCCTCCATGTTCACTCTAAGGCTTCCTCCTACACTCTTCTCAAGGGACTATCTCCTTACATTTTAAATCCCAGTTCGTGTGGACTTTATTTTCAGCCTATCATACTTTCCCCTATAATTTAATCCATAGCTCCCATCCCTCAACCCCCCCCTCCTCTCTCTCTGCCCGCCTTTACTCCCAATCTCCCCCTCCCTGACCACATCTTCCTTGCAGCACACTCTGTCCCCACTGTCACTTGGTAGTCTTGGCCTTTCTTCTTCCTTCGTTTCCTCTGCCTCAGTCCAGCTAATTCATCTTCTCCACCAGGACCTGTAAAAGCTCCCACTCCAGTCTCCTGTCTCCTCTTGCTTCTTCCATTCACTCTGTCCAGCAGGACTTCCAAGAATGCAAAGAGTGGCCCGGGGAACCCGGAAGGATATGGACACTCAGAATTCAGGGCATCAGAATGGGCACCAGCTTCTATTACTGGAAGCACTGGGGGAGCATGAGAGAAATGGCTTTCTGCAGCCATTAGCAGGATTCGGCTCTTGACCACCTGCTGCTGCTTGCGGAACCATGCCAGCCTAGAAGCCTCAACACACCCGACTTTTACGAAGAGATAAGCAGGGAAGTGGCAGACAGAAGGCTTCTCAGCCACATATCCCTTCCCAAGAACACACATTCTCATAGGGCAAGAGGCGAACTTGATGGGACACAAACCCCTGAAAATATACCTCTGAAGGTATCTCAAATGGCATCCTCTTTCCCTGACTCCGAACATCATCCCATACTCTGAAATGTTTCCCTCAGGAAGTCTCCAAAGCTCTGCTTTCACTGTGGAGGGTCAGACCAACATCCTTTAAAGACTTTCACAGGCCAAATAGCCTGGGAGTCTGCTCATCTTCTTCCCCAACTCCCTCAGAGCAGTTATAATACATTATTTACATAAAGCTCCAGTGTAACCAAAGTGCCTGTAAATTCATATACTACGCACACCTCTCCCGCCCAACTGACGCCCAGAAGGTCATGAATCAGAGGGTCTTCTCATTCACCATCTCCTGCCCCCTTTCTGTTCCACACCAAATAATTTCTAATTTATTCCTTTATTTATTTATTTATTTAGGTGTGCTAGTTTTTGTTTATCTAACTCCCTCCCCCACCCTACAAAAAGCAAATTATCTTCCTTTTAATTGGCTACCAGTTACCTCACTATCCCTGATCTTTAAAAAAAGAAGAAAGAAAAGCATCCTTCTACCCAGCAAACCAGACTGGTTTAGAAATTCTCTTCCTTCTCAAGGTATTCCTGTTAGGAGAATCCAGTCAAGCAGACTCCCAGGAGCCCTTATGGGGGAGACCTTTGCAGCGAAATGTCCCTTCCTCTGTAACACCATCAAACTAATACGATTTTGCAGACTACCCGTTCCCCAAACCCTGCGCCCCCAAACAACAGCAAAGCATCCCGCCCCTCCTCCTCCCACCCCCAACAGGGCTGTTTTCCTCTCGCAGTGCTAATTCCTGCAACTGTCTTAGGGTGGTACCTGAACCTTATCAGAGAGAGAGAGAAAGAGAGAGATTGAGAGAATCAGAAAGGCCAACACCGTGAGAAACATACACTTCAACGCACGCCATTTGTACAGTCGCTATGTGTTGCTCAAATGCTCAGCAAATGCACGCAAACCCAAATGTTGGGAGAGGCAGCAATTCAAACCGCTCGCCAGCTGTTCCCCAAGGAACGGAACCGGTGAGCCTGGGAGGAGGCGAACGCTGCTGAACCTGAGCCGCGCCTCGCCGGGACGACATCTTCCATCGCGCCCCCGCCTCCAGCCCCGGCCCCCCGGCGCCGTGGGCAGGGCGCACCCCCATCCCCAGCCCGGGGGTCGCGATAGCGACCGTCGGCCCCGAGCGCCGCGCAGCATCTGCACCTCCCTCTCCACCTCCTGGGTTATTTTTAACCGCCTTCCATTCATGCCCTCTGTCACATTCCCGATATTATTTATCCCTCAAACGCCCACTGCTTCTGAAGAGCCGTAGAGGAGAGTGGGGAAAAGACCCGAGGGCACCACACTTACCGATCCAGGCGGGCGCACAAGAAAAATAGAGAGAACCCCGGTGTCGTTCCCCCCAGAGCGACAGCAGCCGGAGGAGGGGAAGAGCGATCTCGGGTAGAAGGAACCACTCCGGGGAGGCAGGCGGAGGCTCCAGGACATCCAGGGAACAAGTTCTGTCGCCTGCACGGGGGCGCAGGGTCCTCGCCGCTGGAGCCCGGGGCGGGGGTCGGGCTGCGCCCGGGAAGACCCCAAGACTCGGGCTCCTCCGGAGTTCAGCACAGGAGGGCCAGGTGGGAGAGGAAGTCAAGGCTCCGCAGCAGAAGCAGCGGAATCCTAGACAGCAGCGAGCACTTGTTAGCGGGAGCAGCGCCTGCAGCACGCATCCCCCGCGCGCGGCGCTGCAGGCGCCGCACACGCCTCCCGGCCGGGAGCGCGCGGGGGGCGGGG